TTCAGCATATCTGCCACATTACCAAATATTGTCTTCATAATAATGCACTCTTCATGTAACACTCAAATGAAGGTTTAATGAAGCACTTTTTCAGGATTCGTAGGCCTTTTTTCCAAATCCAGGCTGCCAATTGAAAATTTCTCAATCCTCTCTTTTTCCAAAATATGTACGCAAACTCAAAAATGATAAGAGAAATCAATACTAAGAAAATTCCAACTGCTTTTTCTGTGTAGACCAAGGTTTCTGCAATTATTTGACTTTTAGCAACAGTATCTTCCATGATTCAAGAAGTCACTTCGATTTTATAAAAAATAATTCGTAACTGTAGTATAATGTAATGCTATTTTGTGTCATGGAAAGTCGGACGTAGTAATAAAGACATCAGAAATTTAGAAACAGACAAAGTCGAAAACTTCATACAGATCATCACATACATCAGAATGAATGCTTCACCAAAGCAAATGGGTTTGTAAGTTAAAAAATTACTGCAAAGCAAGTAGGGGGATGAATAATTTTACGAAGGACGAATTAATTATATTCAGGCAAATTAACTTATATTCATTTAATACAAGCGGAAAACCTTATGAAAAATGAAACTTGTAACGAAACACGTTAAAAAATTTAAGTCAAAAAAAAAAAAAAAAAAAAAAAATCAGATACATAAACTAGCATTCTGAAAATCTGAATTACTATCTAGCAACTATAGACGAGATTTCCGTATTAATTAAATACAAGAAAAAAGTTTCTACTGTTGCTAGCTGATAAAACTAAACTTTTACTTTTGAATAAAATTTAAAAATCTACTGTAAAAAGAATTTAAATCATTAATATTACTAAGCATTGTACTGTTTGTTTCGGCGTCTCTTTTTTTTTTTTTTTTAATTGTAAAGTTGAATAAATAGCGAATCTTAAAACATTAAAAGATACGTTACCATTTGAAAAAACATTGGAAAAAGTAATGCTTTCGTATAATGTGGAAAATAATTAAAGAATTTAGCTCTCTAGACTGGTTATGTCTCACCGGTTGCCGGATTGGATAAGACCGTTGAACACTGCTTTTGCATCGAAGTCACGATGAATCGCTTGGTTCGGTAGGCCTTTCAAGGTTTTTCGCATATTTAATATGAATGCGAAAGAGTCCTTTCCTTAGAAGGCCATCCACGAAAGCATCTTAAGGCAGATAGCATTTGCGTGCTTTGTCGTAATTAGATAATCTAACCCAATCGAATCTTCTACTGATTACAACTTCTGATCGATATTTGTAGCGGATTAAATCGACCATGTGAAAATAATATCTATCTTAAATATTAATGATAAATAAATAAAAGAAAAGAAAATAACAAAAAGATAAAACTTTCTTCAGGGATATTTAAAATGTGGCAAAAATCAAACTTAAATTGAAATTTGTTTTGCAGTAGATATATCTAACTCAGTATCTCAAGTGGACCGAATTGTCAGCAGTTTGGGCCGCAAGGGGGGAAACGTCGCTTTCCTAATTAATGAAGTATTTAAAAAATGAGTAAATACATAAAATCCTTCTGGGTACTATAGCTTCTAAAACTTGAAGGAACATACGGAAATCCTGGTGGTACATAGGTACCTATTGTTTCTTTCCCTGCACCTGCTATCTTTTCTGCAATCATAGTCTTCTGATATCCAACAAACATGCTGCTCGCATTCGTGATTTTTCAGCGCAGAGGCAAAGTGAATGTCTGTTAACTTGGATCTCGCTAGCGAGTTGTTCCTTTAAATTAGTGAGATAAGTTTTTCATACTGATACGTGCTGCCGAACATGAAAATTAAATGCATTGCAAGCTTGGTCAAACATGGACAAACTTGGGCCAATTCGGGGATACTCACATCAACGAATTTTTGCTTTAGACCTGAGTCGCACTGGATTTCTATTAATTCCCCCTTGGACTGTGTAAGAAATTTTCTATAATCTTTTAATCCGTATTTCTTTTAATCTGGTTGGTCACATGCAGCCCATGAGTCGTGAGTATGACATGCCTTATATAGGACAGGAGTTGGCGAGCCAGAATGTTATGCAATATGCAGCAAGTTCCCGATTAACAGGGGTAATACCAGGAACGATGTCCAAGATTAACTCATAACCACGGTTAATCCAAGAGCAATTAAATAGTACAGGGAAGAGAAATAACCTATACTATCATTAACAAAAAAAAAATATTAACTTAATTGCATTTTTGAGCAGTTTAATCTAGAATAGGTGTTCTCAACCAGGGCGAATTCTCGTGTGGAGGAATTTCATAATTTCGGGGGGGGGCGAGTGCGGTCAGCCTTTTAATTAATCGTTAAGTTTATTACTATAAATAAACTACTTTTATTCAAGTTTCGTTATTTATTAACATTTTCTACCCTTTCTCTTGTTTAATGCATGAAACACGTTGAAAAATCATCTAAATGTATATAAATATAATACATATTTATTTTTCGAGTTTGGGAAAAGAAGAGGAGAACTATCTTCTAGCAGTGGTGAAAAGGGTGCATGGGAAAAAAAGACTGAACTCCTGATCTAGAAGATAAATTCGTCTGCTGTTTAATTTACTCAGTATTCAAAATCAAAAGAACACGCAATAAATAATGGACAAATAAAATAATCAAAAGTTTAAGTTGAGTTGTAATACCATTCCTTTAAAATTTGGGTAGAAAAGTATCTTTTTGTTTTTCTTCAAGATTTATTTGATAGATATCATTTGCTATCACTTTAACTCTGCGAGGGGTGACTTAAACCTCGTGAACTTTTTTAAACGTCATACAGAACACAATAGTCCATTTAATATTTATTTGTCAAATGCCAGTTACATTGGCCGTTAGGCCATTAAACTCCTTGCTTGCCAATAGCGCTGAAATCTACAAGAAAAATCTGTCAGTGCTTCACCCTCGTCCAAATGTTCTGCCGTCATTGGCCGTCCGCTATTACATTAAACACACAACGGCTAATCAGCTAGTCCAATGCGAAATAAATGATTATGTAGACAGTCAAAGTTTAAACGTTGCTAGTGCGGCAACTCAATTTGGGGCAATTTTGTGTGTTGATAATTAGGCAAATGATGAGAGTAAATGGGGGTAAAAGAGAAATAATCGCTTTTAATTAGTGTTAGGAATGTAAATTATTCGGTAGGAGTAAAATCAAGGATGTTTTGTTCATTCATTACTCTTTGGAAGTAAATTTTTAAGTTCAAAGTTATATTTTTTTGCAGGTTTGTTTTTGTGAATAATTTGGTTAATTTTTTTCAGTTTATGAATAAATGATTTCGACCATTATTTTCAGTTTTGCTCTCTTTGCACATATAATTCCAATTGTTTTTAGAGTAAGAAAGTTTTTATTTAAAAATCCTATAATCTCCATAAAAGATTAATAAGAATTCATTCAAAAATCAGACCACGAAAATGCTTTCTTTAGCTGAAAACAAATGAAATTTGTGAGACATCTGCTTTTGAGCGGTAAATTGTGATGGAAGCAATATCATAGTAATTTTGCTTTCAGACCGTAGTCTGCATTTAAAATGATCCAACCGTTTCATAAGCAGGATAAAGTTAACTACTGGAGAAACAAAATACCAGGATAATTTTTAGAAAGTAATGCCATAAATTTCCTTCTTCAGTATTCAGTAGTACTCCTTGTTGCTCCTTTCCCTTCTTGAGCATACTGGTTATGAAATTTGATTGTAAATTTCAGACTTGCTCTTCTAGTATATTTAAAACAAGAAATCGGAGCCATATACAATTTCACCTATTGCTTAATGATACATTTATGCTGTACTTCTGTCATTCTGATGAAAGAGCTTTATATTCTGATAGATAATGTCATTTGTCATAGTATTCTTCTGCCACCATCAGTATTTTGTGTAAGAAACCTTTCATTTCTTCGAATGTTCAAGCTAACGATATTTCAGTTCTGTTTTAAAAAATCTTGCCTTCTTCTCTCTTTTAACTTGTTCAGTTTATAAATGCTGTACGAGGTTTATTTATCTCAGTAAACTTGTAGAGACATTAAGATTTTTTGGAAGCCGAAGAGATGAAAAATTAGCAATCGCCTTCGCCGGGAATCGAACGACGGACCTCTGGAATACCGGCCCAGCGTGCAGACCACTACACCACGAAGACACGCTAGGAAGGCGGGAGAAATACCTTATAAACTTTCCTCTTTCTAATCATCTGGCCTAATTATTTTCTGGTTAGATCTCTACAAACAGCTGTGTGACTAAAGGGCACCATGAGTATACACTAAATTTGGCAGTTTCATGTTAAATAACAAAATTTTTTCTGGCAAACTTATATTTTGTTGACACAGATCAATAGGATTGTGAAACATTATGTCTCTTGGTCTTCATTATTCTTTACTGCTATTTTTTTTAAATTATAAATTTTCAAATAATGAAAACAGAATCCTTAACCTTTTTCATTAAATTGGATTATTTGGTTTCGTTTATTCAGATTACGGCAAAGCACACTAGGGCTATCTGCCTAAGGGAGATGAAGGACTTTCTAAGGGAAACCTCGTTCGTATACACGTTACACATGGGGAAAAACACGAAAACGCCCATGCAGCCAGTCCCTTCGCTGGATTCGAACCTCGGACCGACCTACCAGTGTTCAGCGACATTACCGTTCGGCCGCTGGTGGGCTCATTAAATTGGAGTGTTCATTCTTGCTACTGTTCTTGGATGTCTCGTCAATAGTCTGAAAGATGCAACCGCAACTGTTCGCGGCTGGTCAGGAACAAAAGCTGGGTTTGTTGAGAGAACACTCTAAGGCTTGCCCTCACAAGCCCGAGTGGAAAAATCTCTAAAAGTCTTTTGATATGTTAGCAATGTCAGAAGCTTAATAGAATGGAGGCTTGCACTCGTTTTTGGCTTTTGGAGAACCGTAGCCCCCTTTTTCGCATGCATATCAACCATCTCATTCCCACAAATACCGCAGTGTGAAGATACCCACTGAAAAGATATCTCGTGGGAAAGTTCTTTTATGATTTCCTAACACTGTTGAACACATACGTTCTTACACTCTTGATAAGAGGAGATGGCCTGTATTGCTGAAGTCGAATCAGACAGTACAAGCAGAACTCCTGAATCGAGTTCTATCTCAATGATAATTGTTTGGAGAGCTACATGAATGTCTTTCAGTTCTCCATCAAAGTGAGTGGAGTAAGCTCCTACAGGTATGTAGAAACTGAAAAGCTTGCTAAACCCTCCAGCTCCAGCCCCCTGAATCCTATCGGTCAAAGAGCCATCCATATATACATGTATCCATTCCTCAGCCGGAAAACGTTGCTCAATTGTTTCCAAAGCTATAGTTCTTATTTGCTCTGGACACATTTCCTTCTTATCTACTTTCATTTCCAGGTCCAACCGCACATAAAGGAAGCTATAATCCAAATGGATTTAACAAAAACAGCAGTGCCGGTTTCAGTGTTCTTATATTATTGTATTATTCTAGGCGAGTGACACACTGCAGAAAGCCATTTTGTGTCTTCAGATTTCGCTGTTTATTATAATCATAATTCCTCCAATGAGGGTTACTTGGTAGACGAATAAGTCTCTGAAAAAGGATGAAAGCATTTTTCTGAATCAGGTTTGTCCTTGGTTGGTTTGCCGATACCAATTGCATTGCCAGCATGGGAGTCATTTTAACAGCCCCGGTTATAATGAGCAATGCCTGATTTTGGAAGACCTCCAGACGTTGTATCACATCTCGCGTAGCCGAGATCAATATCTCACAGCAAAAATTTAGTATTGGTCGAATATACATTTTATACGTCGAGTTGAGAGTCTTTCTACCACAACCCCATTTAAAACCTGCTAAGCGTTTAAGGATAGGTAATCTACGCTCCGCTTTAGCCACTACATGTTCTGCATGCTTTCTCCAGGTTAAGCGCTTGTCAAAAATACAACCAAGATAGGTGGCACCATCCGTCTGCTGAAAAACCGACTTTTCATACATTAGGAGTAAAGTGTTGTCTGTTGAGAAAGAAAAACTGACAAGTAGTCTTTCCCTGATTAACTCTCATATTATTAGCAGAGCACCACTCCTCAAGTCTCTGGAACGCAGAGTTTAAGATTCGGCTTAAACCATCTTCATCTCTTTTGTTAGCTCTGGCCCATACGACAAGATCATCGGCTAAAAGGGCAATGTTCACGATCCCATCTGATTCTAAGATGTCTGGTAGGTCGTTAATAAAAATGTTAAAGAGAATAAGGCTAATAAACTGTGTCTTGAGGCAAACCCATTTCAACTTGTTTATATTTTGAAGTGCTGGTGCCACAACGAGTAGCACAGAAACGTTAGGTCAAGAAATGTTTTACCCAAAGGAGCATTTTTCCGCCAACACCGAATGTCTGAAGTTTTTTTTAACAGCCTTTAACCTCCAAACGTTATCATAAGCTGCTTGGAAATCTACGTACACAGCCAGTACCGAATTTCGTTCATCAAGTATATCTTTAATTGACTGGCTTAAGAATACAACTTGTTGACTTGTAGAATGGTAATTTCTAAATTCCGCTTGTTTGGAAGATATTAAGCCATTGGTTTCCAAGTACCACTTAAGACGGGAATTAGTCCATTTAATATGATAATAGTCAATAGTTCATATAAATACAATAACAGTCAATAGGCCATAGAATGCGTAGTTTACAATGATAGCCTGTATAATGCATAGTCCAAAGTATTAGTCCGCAGTATACATAATCCATAAATACAATAAATTGGATACAGCAAAATTATAGTCCATAAATGTTTTAAAAGATAGAGTAAATATAAAATATATTCTATTAATAGTCCCCCAGTCAAAAGATTGCATACTCCAATATACAGCCAAATAGTGCAATAATGCAGTAAGAGAATTTAATAAAATTAGCACTGGCATGAATAATTGCTACCATCACTAATTATATTATAACACACATTAGATTATAACCCAAAAACAATAGCATAATATTATTAAAAATTACTGTAATAATATTATGCTATGTAACATATAATCCAAAACAACACCCCACAGTTCATAATTATATAATCTATAATTATGAAAATAATTACGAATAATAGGTACAATAGTTAATAAAGTGACATATCATGCCATTATATTACAGCAGTTCAAAAGTATTGTTAAATAATAATAAATTATAGTAAATATTAAATACTAATAATACCAAACAATACTAAACACTATACTGTAATACATAAATAATACTAAATAATAAAAATATATAATAATAGTGATTATTAAATCATAAATTCTATAATACAAAAATTATATTAAATACTAAATAATATACTTAATAATAACAGAATCTGTTTTGAAGCATTAATAAATCAGAACTTTCGTAATTGCTTCTACATTTCTTAGTTTGACTTACTTAGTCAATTGAAATTTAATGTTATACGTTATTCATTTTATATAAGAAAGAAACATCATCTACGGAAAAGACAAAATCAATTTTGCATTCTCCGTAGGAAGATATGTTCTTCAATGATGTCTTATGATTACAAGCTTTAATGGCTCCGCATTTAAATAGACATAGATTTTAAAAAAAATAATGAATGAGCGAGCTATGCTCGATTAATCCTCAGCAAGTTTTATCTACTCTCGATTAACTGGAATTAATTTGACCTGCATATTCTTATATCAGTCCTTTAAAAATGAATCAAAGCTTTTGACCGTTAATGGGATTGTAGTGATGAAGTACTCGAAGAGGAGGACTTGCTGAATAAAAATGGCTCATTCATATTACATATGAGGAAAATTACGCAAACGCCCATTCAGCCAAACCTTTAAGCTAATTTAAACCGATTTTCGAATTGCGTAAGTTTGAATAATAAATATATGTATATATACAGTTTGGGGAATTCAAAATTAAAATGATAGACAGAAGATAATTAGAGACTATAGAAGTTATTTTTTGACGGAATGCCGACATTAAAATTTTCGAAAGATTTCACATAAAAATTGTACTAGTAGTCAAATTAAAGATGAAATAGCTATACGCTTGTGCTTTTAGTCTGAATAAAATCTGTTAGCATTATCAAGAAATGTATTTATTTATAATAACCTATTTTTTTTCAAGCAGAGGCTCTATTAGTCTTGACCCTCATTTTTATCAGTATCACTTTATCAGGTTCTATGTTCCTCCTTACTTGCTTTGGGAACATTAAATGTCCTGACTCGGAACAGGGAGCTTACTAAAGCTATCTTCAATAAATTTGAGAAGTAGACAAGATACACAGGAAGGGTATACGAAACCCTTTATTTTTCTCTCTTTACAATGATTTCCGGACTTCGGAATACAGAGACCAACCACTTGTGGTCTGAACGTAAGAATATAAAAATATTAACTAAACTTAACTTTGGATTAATCAAACAAGTGCCTACTCCAAGATTGGCCGTATATTAACAAAAAGCCGTATGTAGTACAGAGAACTGCTAACACTACAGTACGTTTAAAATTATCAAGAGGACTAAACCTCTGGCCTTGAAGGCAACCAGCAACCGAGTAAAACTACTATGGCAAGCGGCCTGCTTCTAATAGCTCCTTCCTCTCTCTTTCTTGGCAAAAAGCCACAACTTAAGTATTTGGCGTTCGCAAGACAAATTTGCATAAATAAGTTAAAGCTTTTAATTCTGGCCGGAAGTAGAAAATAAGAAGTGATAGTAAAGATTTAAAATAAAATAAACGTTAGTAAAACATAAGATCCTTACAACTTTTACGTGCATATCACTTTGTCAAATAATAGGATGTTGCCACCAAATACTATGCCATTTAAAGAAATAATATAATGAATTTTTTTTAAAAAGTATGGTAACATTTTTAAAATTCTATTGGGTATTATAAACACAAGTTGCTTTTAAATATTTTATGGTTTTTTTCTATTGAATTTTATGCAACGTAAGTTACGAAAAAAGTGACAAATAAAGTTAAAAAGACAAAAAAAAAAGTGTAAACCATTTTACTAAAAAACTAAATATTAACAAGATGAACTGAGAAAGGGCAGTCCAGACGGAAAATGGTTAGTGGCACTGACTGCCGTACCGAAGGGACAGGGCTCGAAACCCGAAGAAGGCACGGATGTTTGTGAATGTATAGTATCTGTGCGTTATGGAGGCTCTCTAAATAAGCGGCGAATTGAAAGTCCTTTTAAGATTCTGGTGGTAGGGAAATAGGGGTGGGGATCCGCTCCTCGGGATGCCCTCAAATTGGGGGGGGGGCCGGGGCAGAATTAAGCATAAAGTTGGATTATCACCTCTATGGTTCTCAAGGCTCTGGCCAACGAGAGACGCAGTCTTGTACTCCTTTCCACGATAATAACTCTTGGACCTTTTCCTGATTACATCCGATAAGTGAGATTAGTAACAACAACTGAGGGAAAAAACTGAAATAAAAACAAAGGAATAGCAACCTTAAACACGGTATCCATAATTTTAAATATATGCTATTTTCTAAAATTTTGTAATTTTACTGTGAATATTATGTAGCGTAAGTATGAAGAAAGTTATGTTTAATAATAAAGTTAAAAAAAAGTTGCGCAGGTCATCTTGTTAAGGAAACTGAACACTTATATTATAAACTGAAAAAAAGACATGGCAAAGACAAAACTACATGGCAACATTTAACGCTCTAATCGTGAATTCTAAAAACAAGCCGCTTTTAAAAATTTTATTATTTTACAGATTAAATTGTATTTTGCGGGAGCGGGGAAAACAGTGCTAAAGTTAAAAAGACAAAAAGTGTTTTGCAGATAATCTTGTGCTGAGAAAAGACTGAAAAAAAATAGACAAATATATGACAACATCTAATGTTCTCTGATGAATTCTAAATATATGATGCTTTTAAAAATTTTAAGATTTTACTGTTGAAGTTTAAGCGACGTAAGTGCAAAGAAAGCAGTGTTTAATAATAAAGTTAAAAAGGCAAAAAATGTTGCATTAGTAAGTGTGAGTCTAAGAGCAGGTTGGTAGATTGCAAGCCCAGTGACAGCATATAAAATCTTAACAAAGTCTTTGATTTGACTTTAAAACTTAATCCTTTCATACTTTATTATTTATTTATTTATTTATTTATTTTATTTCTAAAACTATTTCTAGAACCCTTACTAAGTAAATTTCAAAGAATGGCTAGAAGATGAAACCCATCTTAGTATGGAATGGAATGAAGCAAGAAATTCTACTATATGGCATCTTGTAAATATGCCAAACTGCATAAAATTTAGATATTTGTACATAGTATAAATTGTGTATAGAATAAATTAGATGATATCTATTAAATATCATCGAAATAAAATAAATTTTTACACTGATAAGAAATACTTTTATTGTTTTTAAATCACAAAAATTATTAAGGAA